TGCAAGTGAAAGTTATGAAAACGATATTTTACTCATTTATATATGGGAAATGAAGGAATACGCTAAACAACGTATCGTAATATTTAGTCATTTGTTTTTACATTTTGTGTTTCAAATAATGCAAAATCACTGTCTTTATTAACCTATTTCAAATGTTGTTGATGAGCTTTACAAAACTACAAAACTTTACATTGATATGAGCTTTTAACGCTTTTGAAAGCAGAGGTGAGTATGGTACCACCCACAGATTATTAGTATCAATTTGATTTCCAATGTTTGGCATTAGCATTCTAAATGTGTGGCCGGATTGCATGTGTCATGAACAAAACTGAACAACTGTAATGGCATGTAATAATATTCCTGCATGTGCTGTGGACTACCGATGTAGCTAGATGAAAAGTTGTTTGATTCTGGGGTTGCTCACACTAATTCAGAATTACAATCTCTTATAAAGTAAGCTATATATATTTCATCAGGAATAGATGCTGGTTTTCAAAGTACAGCTCTTTGAAATTGAACGTGAATCACTCATGTTTATACTTGAATGCAACACTTATTACACCCAAGTGATCACAATGAATTGAGCAAGAGCGCTCAATAGTGTGATTTCGTGCTCCATCAAAAGTTAGCAAAATAGTACACCTTATTGTGTGAAATAAAAGTAAACCGTCCGTCTATAAATAAAAAAAAAGTTTCTACCATAAAATACCAGAATATTAGTCAGTAGTTGCAATAATAGAAATGGTTGCATTACTGTGTAAGATGCTACTATACTACTGAATTTACTAGATTGTAGTCTATTAGATTTTTTATTTGAAGCTTTCCCATGGCAATCGCCAAGAAAATTAAAAACACATAAGGAGTATATACCGCTGCTCAGGCAAGCCGACGAAAAATGGAATAGCAATGAAGTAGATAATTCCCTTTAGTCAGTTATTGGCATTTCAAACTCAAAACCAACAGATCCATCACGTTACAAATTATGTATCAAGAAGTCCCCGGGATATGACAACATATCAGTAAAAATGCTAATAAAGTTACCTCAAATAGCGTTTAAAATATTTACAATCTCTTTACTGTGGATATACCAAACAACTCTCGTCTTGTGATTTCCACGTTTGCTAAAGACACTGCTATCCTTAGTTCTCATCAAAATAGATTCATAGCATCTACAAACTTAATTGAGCACGTTGAATCATTGGGACATGATTAGCGAACTGGTGCATTCGCGTAAACGAAAGTCAAAGTACGCATGTGATGTTTACCCTGCGTAAGAATCACTCATCAAAAATGAACTGAACAAAAATGAAAATTAATTGCAAATACAAACAAAAAGTGCAAATTCCTCAGAAACTCCTGGCAAGGAATCTACTGCTAACCCTACTACGGCCTTTTTCAAGATTGCGCAAGACTATTCAAGATTAATTTATGTTTATTTAAATATAATTTAAATAACCTGAAGGTTGCTCGATTTCAAAACATCGAGCGGCTGAGAAATCGTTTGCATGATCTTAGAAAAAAAGCCAGGGGTAACAAATTGTATGATCTCGGTGGTTAAATCACATCACCAAATCTTGAAATTATATGTTGTGTGAGCTGTGTTATTAGTTTGTATTACACTTTTCACATTTAAAAAAAAATACAGGTCTGTCAAACTTCAAATGCTACACTATACCATATAATGACGTTTTGTGGTCTCTGTATTTCTGTATTAAAAAGTTAACCGACATTCAAAATAGTGTTTTTATTTTTGTATAATTAATAATTACTTGATTTCATAGTGAATCCGTTTTAATACGTTGGCACTGTGGAAGTGAAACCATTTAAATAACTTGTTCAGATCTTACTGGTCCATTGTGATAGGACTGCTTTACATAGAAATCGTTTTGATAACTTGTTTAACTTTTGACTAACCTTTTAAACTTATATTGTGTTACCTCAATTTAATTTTGCGTTTCTTAATATTGCAGAATAATCTGATGCAATCAGGATGTTTGTGTATAACAAAGGGAGTCTATTAAATGGTACAGAAAATAAAATTAATTTAACAAGCTTATATAATACCAAAGTATTATTTCAAGCTTCATAAACGCATGAAATAAGAACATATGAAATTTTCAACTTCATATAAAACAATCAATCTTATAAAATCTTCAGTAAAGTAAAGTAAAGACTTGAAATCGGCTCCGAATAATAGTAATAAGTTAATATGCAAATTCATTGCAAGTGATTATAACTAAAGCAACACAAAACGTTTAGACAGTAGTGAAACATACAAAAGCAGTGATGGTTATAAAATGGTTTATAATTGATGATGACAAAAATCTTGACGTGGTTGTTACAATGTGACGAAGAAATTGATATGGTTCAGTGCGCAGTAGACGTCCGCATTAACAAAAACATTTATAAAGTGATTGCTGCAAAGTCTGCTGAATATCAGGCAAACCCTTCGCAATCGGAAATAGACTTTTAACAATGGAGCGAAATTGAGATTCATCAACTGACAATAGTTAAAAACGAAAACACCATAGCAACATCAACATATGTATATAAACACATCTAGGATGTTTGATGGACTTTAGTTATAAATGTAGCATACATTTGATTAAAAATGCTCATTTTCTCCGAGAATATGGGAGAACATGCGCAGTTGTGAAGTCAAATTTTAGATGCGAAAACAAATGTGGTGAGGAGTGCAAGAGTAACCAGCAGCCCACAATATTAAGTCTCATTATAACGACAAAGGCAACTTCAATCGAAGACATTTCACCACAAAGAGAACCAGTTTAAAATAAAGTTTTACATGAATGTTTCCATTCAAAAGTACATGGCTTCCCCTTCAGTAAGGAAAGTCCTAAAACCCGAGAATGTGTAAATCATACAGCACTTCCAGCTTCATGCGAAACTTCGTAAAACATAATACCATCCACAGGCAAGGACGTTAGCGTTGGTAAAATTATGTACATATATAAATTGTGTGCTTTATTTTAAATAATATGATACATAAATCATAGAAGCAAATTTATTGAAATTAAATTAAATTTAGTACAAAATCAATATGCAATATATAGTTATTTAAAAATTTTAAGTGAACCACATTTCATTAATATTGGTAATAGAATTAATTTATTTAATTTCTACAAGTGTATTTGTGAAACAAAAACGGGTGTTGGTTTTACTGAAATTTGTATCGATACTATTTTAGATAAACAAAATTACAAATATCAAACAATTGCTTGGTGCAAAAAATAGATTTTTAACAGAAAATAACTAAGTGGCTAAGTGGATATGTAAAGTTGAAGTCAATTCAAAAATTATTTTGAAAAGACAAATATTTCTTTATGTTATGCAAATAAATACATTGACGACGACAGCATTGATAATTATACAAGTCGTGGGCCGATTATTTCACAAGACTACAGAACGGGGGTCTTCTTCTAAAATCAAATTTAACGAATTTTCAAAATCAACGAATACGAAATTCGCAGAAATTCATCAGAACGACCTCTTCTGACTTTGAAAGTGTACTCATATTAATTAACAACGAATTATTTAATAAATTCATTGGTAACTGAAGTTCAGTATAATTTTCAATAAATACTTACGGAAAGTTAACGATAAGGCAAAAATACTTTTAAAGAAAATAAAGAAAAAACAATTAAAAAAAACAAACGAAACAAAAGTACAAAGAAACTAAAGACATTTTCTATGCAATATTTAATACTATTTAGGTATTATGTAAAATGTGCATGGGAATTTCGTACACCCAATCAAGGATATTAATTGAAAATTTGTTACAACTCTGAATACTGCTGAATATGTCATTACTATTTAAATTACAGAAATATTTAGAAACAATTTAACTGAAAGTTTCAATAAATATTTAATGAAACCTTATTCTGATTTATTTAAAAATTGTAAGACAAAAAGTATTTTTGAAAAATAAATGCCTTTATTTGTTAAAAAAAGGTGATACACAAGTTTAAAAATTTGAAACTGATTAATACTTACAACGTTTGCAGAAATATTTTTATAATTAAGTTTGTACAACGCATAAGTTATTTCACACCAATGAAAATAATATTAATATAAGGCTAATAAAATAGCTGGGAAGTCCGAAAAGATTTTCAAATGCTACTTAGGAATTTGTAGTGTGCGTAGGGTAAAAAAGATAAAAATGTAAAACTATAAACGATTAAAAAGTTGTTATTATTATTAATAATTGCAACAATAGTGCCATAAACAACCATAACTATCCTAATAATAAGCATAAATTTATGCAAATAAATAAAATATCAAAAGCTAATTTAAATCAAAAAAATCAAATATCAATTGCACAAATACCAAAGAGTATTGAAACTCGACAACCGAATATATAAGGTTCTTATAATGCATAAATTTAAGACCTTCTACATATAACAGATTGCGAATATTGCAAACAATAAAATCTGCGTCTCTAACAAGTACAAAAAAGTTATCACGTACTAACCATTTTAGTAAAATAATTTTTGGCTACAAGTATAGAGACTTTGAGGTAGTATTTAAATATTTTAATAATTAATATTTCAATACATAAAGTGATATACAAATATTTTTGTATTACTAATTTTAAACTTCCAGAATGGATTAAGTTTATCATTAAAGATCTACAATAGTGCTCGCTAGAATATTGCAAATGCCACACAAATTGCGACGACTCAATATATTTAATATAAAAGATCTTTACAAAAATTCAAGGAATAGTAAAGTAAATGATTTTATTACAAGCAACCTACCAAAATTTTAATTATATTCAGTATTAAAGTCAACAAATCTAAATTATCCTAAGACAGAAGAGGTTATTTTTAATTTGAAGTGCAAACCATACGGTATCTTACACCAAAATAACGTTTAGTTCAGAGTTTATATTAATTCTTACCAAAATATTTTAACAGCTTAAAATGTATTTGAGTTTTAATCACGAGATAATTGTTTGAAAAAGTGAAGTCGGTCACAAAGTTTTCACTAATTGTTTGTGAAAAGAATACTTAGAAATAAATTTTGGTGTTCATTCTATGAACGATTCGAAATATATTTAACTAAACTAAACGTTAACTAAACGTGCGTAATTCCATTACCAATAGTGTAACTAATAATTTGTACACAAAATCGTTTCCAACTGAAAACGAAAAATGCGCGAAAACAATGGTCAACTTCGGGGTTTACTTAAAAAACCAAATCAACCAGGTGCCGTGCGTAAGAATCGTGTAGTATTTGATGAGACTCGAAATGAATTCTTTGATGCTGATTATATTATATTAATTCGTGAAGACTGCGCCTACGACGAAGAAGATGAAGAGACTTGTACATGTGGGGAACATGAATTAGTGCGACTATGCTGTGAAGAAGGATGTCAATGTAATTATTCAGCACGTGATGAAGACACCCGTACTTCTCAGGTAATCTTTTATATTTTAACAAACTTGGAATTATTTAGCAATACTTTCTTTTTATTTATTCACATTAATATATCACACTTTAATAACTTACTTTCTTATTTGAAAAAATTCATTAAAACACTCGAATTATAAGTATAATTGTGCACAAACTAAAAACTTATATACACTTTTGTGTAAGTTAATGAACATTTATTTTAATGATCATTATAATTATTGATCAATTGTATCAAATCAAATATTTCTTACGTGATATTGTTTTGATAAATTAAAATTACTTTTTATTAAATTTATTTTTAAAAAATATCTTTTATGATCAGTATGATCATTCTTTATTGATATCTTATTAAAAACTGAAAACTTATAATTTTGAACAGAAGACTTAAACCTAAACGGAAGATTCAAATGCAAACAAACAGTTGACATTTGTGCGTATTTAATGCACAACAATATTTGTGCGTGCTTAATTGACGATAATAAAATATGAATTCCATTACTAAGATTGATTATTAAGTACTTCACATTTTAGAAGCGTTAATCCAACAATGTGAAGCGATTTATAACAATGGAATCGATTTATAATTTATGGCATTAACTCCTCCCTTCTTAAAAACAAACGTCCTCGTTTGTCAACGTTGTATTATTTCTTCTTAAAAAAACGATATTTGACTGACTCGAGAAATTGGTTTTGGTTTTGTAGTTTTTTGTGATGTCATAGGCTCCAATTCTATCACTGCAGGTTCTATTGAAGATATTGGGTGTTCAGGTATTTCATCTTTTTGATTTACATCTATTTTTATACTATTGGATCTCTTTTGGATGACTGCTTTCACAATTAAATAAATTACAGAAATTAATACAATGCAACTCAAACCAACATTTCTTAATAAGTTAATTTTGTTTTTTGATTCTATTACATGAATGTACTGAGTATTATTGATTTGTAAATCTTTTATCATCTCTAATGAAAGTACTTCTTCTATTTCATTTCTTTTACCAAAAGGCTGCAGTATGGCTGGCAATGGATTATCAAGTGAAATATCTTTTGTATTATAGCTATTTCCATCTATAGTTATTGATGCATTGTGGTAGCGTATAAGAAATGTTCCTTTTAAGTCAGCTGATTTATTATTAATAATCGCTTGTCCTTCAAATTGGTTGAGAAATATTAAGCCTGGCGAAATTAGTTCGACAGATGGAATATGTTGATTGTTGATTACTGCGCATGTCGGTGAACGACTTTCTAATAGATTTGGTATACACGACGAATTACTAATGTCTATAAGATTTTTAGGATTACAAATAGATAGCTTATTATATTGTTTACATTTTACATTGATTCCGTAAATATTTTGTTTACATTGTAAGATATTTTCGTACATTATTTTATTAATTACATTTCTTTGTTTCACTGCTTTTATTGTAAGAATTGAACATGGTTCATCACCAGTTGTTGGTAAGTTTACAATATAAATTATAGAATTATTACTTAAGGCTATTTTTACTTCTGAAAATTCTAATGCTTCATCTAAATTAATATATGGGAAATCATTTCGTTTTAATGTTTCCTCTACAATTTTTACTTCTTGATTTGATAAAATAAAAGCATTTACAATATCTGCTTTTGCCCAATTAATGGCATATTCAATATTTTTAATTTCTATTTTATTAGATTTGGTAGCTCTTAATATTTGATTCGTAACATTTTTTATTTCATTAATTTTTTCAATTGTTGCTTTATTTATTATTACTTGTTTATTATTATTTTCTAATACATTATTTATTTTATTTTTAAGCAACTCAAAATCTTCGTGGTCTGGACTTCCAGATATCCATTTCCACATTGTACCTATAAAATCTAATGATCTCTTTATTCTATAATTAGTTTTTAATCTATGTAATGCATCTTTTATTCTATTTAATTCCATGATAAGGAATGGATGAATAAGATGATCTGAATTAATGTTATCGTTAATTTGAAGTTCTAAGTCGTCTATGAGTGTTTGATATAATGATATGTCAATTACATGTATTATTCGGAATGATCCTGTTTGAAGTCTTGCTGTACCTGTATTGATTGCAACAAACTGAGAATTTGTGTAGTCCAAAATTTGTGTTTCAGGAAACACTATGGCGAAGAGTGCCCTGTGTTGATTAAAAAAATATATGTAACATATTATTTTTTTAATTTTTAATGTGAGATTTATGAACTGTTCTTCCTGATTTCGTAATGACTATACTATGTCTGTCTTCTTTAACTATTTCCTTTTTGTACCGAGGTGTTAGTTTAGTACCTAAACGTCTGTTTATTTTAACATAAATTATTTCACCATGTGAATAAGTTTTGAAAGGCTGTCTATTCTTATTATGAGTTTGCATATCTCTGTTCTGTTTGTCTATTAGTCTTTGTATGTTATCTTGTCTAGCTTTTTCAAACATTGCGGGATCTACATTAACACGTCTTCCAAAGAAAACTTCTATTGGTCTATTATTTGTTGTAGAGTGTATTGAGTAGTTGTATTCATAAATTGAACAATCAAGTAATTCTTCAAATGACTTATGAGGGGCATCAATTTTTAGACATTTTAAGATTTCAGAAAGAGTAGAGTGGAATCTTTCCACCTGACCGTTAACTAAACTAGTATTAGGGGGTGTAGTAAAAACTTTAATTTTCAATTGATCTTTGATCATAAATAATATAGAATGGGAATGGAGAGATTTTTCATTATCTATTACAATTTGTTGTGGAACACCAAACATAAAAAGCAATTGTCTTAATGGTTCTTTTATATCTTCTGTTGCTCTAGATTTAATAATTTTTGCCTGTGCGTATTTAGAAAATTTATCAAGTGCAGTTAGTACTAATTTTGAATCTACTATATATATATCTATATGTAAAATCTGGCCTGGAAACTGAGGGATAGGTGTTGGATTTATAATTGGGTTGTTGGGATGTCTATCGTATTTATTTTCTTTACAAACCGTGCATTGTTTAACTATTGCATCAATTTTTTGAGTCATTTTTGGAAAGTAAAATTTTTCTAATATCTGTATCTTATTTTCTCTTGCATTACGATGTGCTCTTTTATGTTCGATAAGAATTTGTTCTTCTTGGTCAGATTCCGATTTCAAATCTATAACTTTTGTTTGAGTAAATCTAATTTTGTAATTGCGAAAATGTGAAGAATAAAAATTTTGAATAGTACCCATAATATTTTCAGATGTGAAAAGGCCGTTGATAACAGAAGGGTTTAGATATTTTTTAAATATTGCTATTAGTTCTGATTCTGAATAATTTGACTTAGTGATTGTGTGTCTGTGATAAGTTGGAAAAATAATTTCGAAATGATAATTATTTTCTTTTCCGGTAAGTATCCATAACTGATTCTTAAATACATTAATTGGTGATTCTACTGCTGGAATAAGTTCGTGTGATGAGCTTTCGCTACTGTGTTGCGTGGCGGTCATAGAGTTTATTTGAGGTGGTCTAGAGAGTGCATCTGCTACTATATTTGTTTTTCCTGGTTTATATCTTAATTCATAATCGTGTTCTTCTAAAATACATTTCCATCTTTTCATTTTAGCGTTATGGTTTTTGTTGCTTAAGGCATAGGTTAATGATTGATGATCTGTAAATATTTTAATTTTTGCTGTTCCATATAAAAATTTTCGTAGTGTTTTAAGGGACCAAATTATTGCAAGCATTTCTTTTTCATTAGCTGCATAGTTTTCTTCAGTTTTGCTAAGTGTTCTGGATATGAATGTTATAGGTTTCCCATCTTGTTCTAAGACTGCTCCTAATGCATGATTAGAGGCATCTGTTGTAAGATGAAACTCCTTTTTAAAATCGGGGTACTTCTTCTGAAATGAGGGTATTCTTTATTTTATTGAAAGCTTCTATTGCATCTTGGTTAAGATAAATTTTTCTATTTTTCGAAACTGTTTTTGATATTCTACCATCTTCTCCTCTCAAAAGTGATGTTAATGGTTTTGCTAATTTAGCATAATCTTTCACAAAGCGGCGATAATAACCAGATAATCCTAGAAAAGATCTAAGATCCTTCAGTGTTTGGGGATAAGGAAATTGAGCTATTGCTTCTACCTTATTTGGATTTGTTTTAATACCATTTGACGTTACTATGAAACCTAGAAATTCTATTTCCTGTTTAAAGAAATCACATTTGTCAAGTTGAACTTTCATATTGGCTTTTTCAAGGGTATCGAAAATTATGTTTATATTATTGGCATGTGAATACTCATCTTTACTGAAAATTATAATATCGTCTATGTAGACAAAACAAATTTTACCAATATGTTCTCTAAGTATATCATCTAAAATTCTTTGAAAAATTCCTGGAGCATTCTTTAAACCAAATGGTAATCGAGTAAACTCATATTTACCATTATTAATAGAGAAGGCAGTCTTCTCAATATCAGATTCCTTAAGACGAATCTGATGGAAACCGCTTTTTAGATCAAGAACAGTGAACCATTAGTTCTGTCCTAGTTGAGCTAAAGTTTCTTCAATATCTGGAATAGGATATCGATCTGCAATTGTTATTGCATTAAGTTTGCGGTAATCTATGACAACTCTATATTTTTTTTCCAGAAGAATCTTGTTTTTTGGGTACAACCCAAATTGGTGAATTGTATGGAGACTTTGAAGGTCTAATTATTCCATCTTCTAACAATTTTTCAATTTGTTCTTTAACTTCAAGTTTTAACGACATTGGATAGGGATAGTATCTAGTATAAACAGGTTCGTTTGTTGTTGTACGAATTTCTCCTACTTTATGAGTAGTATAAGTAAGTTTTTCGTCTGGTTCTGAGAATAGGTTTTTATAATTCCTAACTAAAATATTTAGAGCTTGTTTTTGGTTAGAATTCATGTGGTCAGTATTTATATTAATTGCATTTACGGATTGAGTTACTAACTGTTTTATTCTTATTTTTACAGAATCGTCTATAATCATATAGCTGTGTTTAGCGTGAATTACTGCAGA